AGTGGGGATAGCTAGTCGTGCCGCTGCGTGCCGTCGCGTACTACGCAAGGTGATTTTCCGGAAGTAACAGCCCCACGCGTTCCGCATTCCTTTCACTCGTCGCGGCGTGACTTATTCGCGCTTATTGCAATGATAACGCCGGCCGATCGAGAAAGCGGATCGTAACAATCGTTAATAACTCCGCTCGTAGACGTCGTAGCGATTTGAAACGAAGATCATTGGAAAGGGGAAATTAGCGCGCTCCCGATGGACGTGAAATCGTCACTCCGTGAAGTAAGAGTCAAACAGCGTAATCATGTATGTACGAAAGACATCTGCTTTTGTGCTCGCGTTAAAGTGGAGTTTGTGTTATTAGTCTGTGTTAGAATCCAATGGGAAATCTGTTTTAATTTAGCTAATTATTGCAAAGTGTGAGTTTTATTTTTTTACGAGTAGAGCAATTGTTGAAAAGTTGACGGGAATTTTCTATCTAGTAGCGAATATTTTTTTTCCATAGTGTCGAAATTCAAACAATTAATAAATTTAGCTTGTATTTTATATAACGACATTAGCTGTTCCTATTTCAATATGGAAGTTAAAATGTATAGGATTAATTAACACAGAAAAAGAACATTTTTATTTGGAAAATATCTTTTTTTTATGTTAATCTTCAAATGAGATTATATAGCTTTATCGAAGACAAATTACTTCTTTTGCATACAATCATACACATTAATACACATCAATATATTTTATATTCAATTCAACAAACAATCAAAGCAATAAAATTCTTATTGCTTTGATTATTTGTTGAAATCAAAGCAATACAATTCTTCTAATATTATATATTGTTTTATTATATATAAAACAATGATTGTAGATTTCAATATATTAGTTTAAATAGATAGAGTAACCTGAAGCATAACACATACATTTAAAAACACATTTTTAACATAATATTGTGTTTTCCATTGATGAAAATTATTTTTGAATAATAACAGATTTTTGTTCATTGAGTCATATAAAATATAAATACTCATTAGATATATTTGTAAATATATATTTTCATTTTACGTCATGTAATCTCATTTGAAAATTAACATATGAAAAGTAAGGATATTTTCCAAACAAGAATGTCCCTTTTTTCTGTATAGTGATAAACACATAGATAGGAACGGATGTGGATGATCAAAAAAGTTTAATAATTATCGGATGGTAAGGCGATATATCGATCTATTGAATATGTGGAGCTGAGTATACAGGTATCGTCGTTGTAGGCGTGCAATACAACAATCGTGCGCGTATCTTCGATTGCGCGCATTTTCGACCTTTCATGTCGAGCAATCGCCGTTGCATCGATCGACATCGTTTCGCGTTGCTACGTCTTTTATGATGTCGAAAGTGAGTCTCGCGCGATAGATATGTATCGAGAGTGTCGAGACAGCGATGTGCCATCTTCGGGACGTATCGTAAGTATGTTTTTGGGGAATATTCCTCTCGTTTGTCAATATACGCAAGCGGTGCATGTCGCGACGTGTCGAGACGGCGCGTCTCTTACACTTGTTATTACCATCGACTCACTCATGTGATAGAATCGTCGGATTTATTTATAGAGAATTTGAAATTCGTAATCAGAGAAATAGATAATATGAACGAATAATATGGCGAATCTTGGTAGATAACGTCGATCCGTTAGTAAGAAAAAGGGAGGGAGAAGGAGGAGCAAATCGAATCCACTAATCGCTCCAAAACTTTTCCTGACGTTAATCACTTTTCCTTAAGTTAATCAAACCGTATACAAAAAGTAGGGTTCGTTCAGCGCTGCAAGTGTTTTAGAGCGACGGATAGATCAATCGTATTTATTTGACGCTTTGTGGAGCGCCAAGCGGATCCTGTCTAAAGATAGTCGGCGTACAGTTCGATAGTTGATGTTAGGCAATTGTGTACAGTAAAGAACAACCACAAAACTAATATTGGGGTGTGCATTCGATTATTGAACATAACAGTAGATAATGTATGTTGAGTGAGATTGTATGAGGACACTGTGCACTGAGAGAAGAATTTAGTAAATATTATCAAAATTTGGTTACTATTACTAAATGGTAGACGTAAATATAGCGGGCCAAAGCTATGGCAATACTTATTAATTAATTTAGTTTTGTAAAATAAATTATTTATTTGACAGAAGTAAAATTTATTTGATTCCAGAATATATTTGGTAAATAAAACTTATTGAATAGTTGAGCAAAATAAGCGATTTTGTAATAGTTACAAAATTTTTGGTAGGTTCAACCAACCATCTGTAATAATAGATATTGAAACGATATAATAGCTGCAAATGAATGAATTTTTCGTTGTGCTGCAACAAAACATACTTATACTGGTAACAAAACAGAACTCGTACTTACTGAATTTTTTATTACATGGAATATAACAATTTCATAACAATTATCAAATATCTGTTCATAACTCTCTATAATATATTTCATATTAAATATTTAATATTAAATAACTATTACACACTAAATTATTTAATTGATGTTACTGTGAATGCAATTACGTCATACTCCCAATCTATTAAATATTTGGCAATTATTATCACATTTAGTATTAGTTACTAAGGATCCAACGAATTTCTGTAACTAAACGCAGTTTGTTATAGTTACCAGTCTTTTCTCTCAGTGTGTGGATACGCTCAGCCCGCCGCAGACGCACGGCCTTCAAGCCAGGCGTCTTTCGACGTTACGACAAAACATCAACAAAGCGCGCGGGTCGTTGACATGTTCATTACGCACGTCGTATTTCTTCGCGAATAGCTGAAAGCGTCGTTCGTCGTTTCCTCGTCGTAAATCTCGTCCGCTGTTTCTACGCCAGTCTCGCGAAATGTATCGTTGTCGCTGCACGTGTGTTTATTTCCGATACTCCCGTCGTGGTCGCATGCGTCGGTAATTATGATGAACGTAAAATTCAGTGAGCGTTCGAAATCGCGTGTCTTCTGACGCAATGAAAAAAACATCAACAAAGCACACAGGTCCTCGACACACTCGCGTACGTCGTATTCCTTCGCGGAGCGTTGACGCAGTCACTCGTCGGTATTCTGTCCGCTATTTTCACGCGAGTCCCGCGGAATTGATCATTGTCTCCGCGTGACAATGTGACAGTGTTCGTTTTTAATTGACGATACTCGCGTCGCTAGTGATTACAATGAACATCGTGAAATTTAAAGAGCGAAGCCTAATTTATATCGAACTCTATGCTTCCTGTTTTTTTTTCTGACTGAAACCTTAAGTTTTTAGTCAGGAAAAGGTGGAGAAAGGTGGAGAAAAGATAAGAAGCAAAGAGCATTTTGTAATTCAGGCTTGAGCGTCCGAAATCGCACGTCCTTTGGCGTAACGAAGAAACGTATCAACGAAGCACGCAGGTCCTCGGCACGTCGTATTCTTTCGCGGAGCGTTGACAGAGTCATTCGTCGGTATTCTGGGTTCGCTATTTTCACGTGAGTGCCGCGGAATTGATCAATGTCTCCGCGTGTGATAATATTTATTGCTAATTGACGATATTCACGTCGCGGTCGCTAGTGATTACAATGAGTAATATCGTGAAATTTAAAGAGCAAAGCCTAATTTACATCATGCTCTTTGCTTCCTGTTTTTCTCTTTCTGACTGAAACCTTAAAGCCTGATGTACAATATGCTCTTTACGTTCTGTTTCTTGTCTTCTGTCTTTTTCTGGCTTAAAGCTTAAGGTTTGAGTCAGAAAGAGATAAAGAAAATGAAACAGAAAACAAAGAATGCATTGTAGATCAAGCTTAAAACCTGATCTATAATATGCTCTTTGTTTCCTGCCTCTTTCTTTTTATCTCTTTCTGATTCAAACCTTAAGCTTAAAGCTTGATCTATAATGTGTTATTTACTTCCTATTAATTTTTCTTTATCTCTTTCTGACTTAAACCTTAAACTAAAAAGAGACAGAAAACAAGAAACAAGAAGCAAAGAACACATTGTAGATCAGGCTTTAAACCAGAAAAAGACAGAAGACAAGAAACAGAACGCAAAGAGCATATTGTAGATCAGACTTAAATTTTTAGTCAGAAAAAGAGAACAAAAGACAAGAAGCAAAGAGCATTTTATAATTCAGTCTTGAGCGTCCGAAGTCGCACGTCCTTTGGCGTAACGAAGAAACGTATCAACAAAGCACGCAGGTCCTCGGCACGTCGTATTCTTTTGCGGAGCGTTGACGGAGTCATTCGTCGGTACTCTGTCCGCTATTTCCACGTGAGTGCCGCGGAATTGATCAATGTCTCCGTGTGTGATAATATTCATTGTTAATTGACGATACTCGCGTCGCGGTCGCGTGTGCTAGTGATCACAACGTTCCACTACAGTTTCCAGAGGATGCTTGTGCCGGAGGAGCCGGTTCGGGCAGAGCAGGGTTGACTCGACGGTGAGTTCGTACTCTTGATATTCCTGTGTTTAACCCTGTACGGTCGAAATCCGAGTTGCAGTCAACTATTCAACTAACTCGGATTACAACCGCAGAGAATTAATCGGATCGTATTTACACGCACTTGTTTGCTAAGCTCAATCTCAACTAGGGATCATCTTTATGTTTCAGATGTCAGATGTAGTCGACCTTGACTTCCATCGTTTCGGTGAGTGAGATATAGAAACAAGAAATTTAAGGTGATGGTTTTTCTTTCTCATTAATCCTCGAGCAGTCGCATTTCAAAAATAAATACAAACGCGTCGGCACTCAATGTAAGTTATGAACGTTAGTCAAAATATTAAATTTTTGCCAATGAATTTTACGTATATTCTTTTTTTTTTGCTTATTTTTTTATTTGTGTTTTTCTCTCATTGAATGTGATGTCGTAATTAACTTGCGGGAAATATCGTTCAAAATTACGAATTTCATTAATAAAGAGATAGAAAGATGAAGATAGATATGCCGAGAAAGAAGATCGGTTGATATTTGCGCGACTGCTCCAGAATTAAAGCCTGATCTACAATATGCTCTTTGCTTCCTGCTTCTTTCTCTTTATCTCTTTCTGACTCAAATCTTAAGCTTTAAGCCAAAAAAAAAAATAGAAGACAAGAAACAGAACACAAAGAGCATATTGTAGATCAGACTTAAAGAGTCACGACGCTGTTACAAGCCGAACATTTGCGTCGTTTTTCCATGTGTATACTGCTTGACATAATTTGGGAATCACTTCTTCAAACGTTCATATTATTTGAAGTATTAAATAACCAAGTTAAAATTCAAAAATTTGTAAGTAACACTAATTTATGTCTCTCGGTTTTTGAATTTGCTAATCATGCCTGATTTATTTAATTTGAACTATAAAAAGCACCTTTATAGCGAAAGAAAAAATTAAAATATTTTATTTTAAGAAATAAATATTTGTATTGTATTAATAACATACTCACTTATATTCATAAAATACTCCTCAAATAAGAAAATATGCATTCTCTTGAACTTTAGCTTTTCACGAAAGCAACTATTTATTCCATTTAGATAAAAGAATTTAGATTTAAATATTAATATTATTAATACCCTTCCCCCCACCGCGAGTGATAGTTTATTTTTTAAATATTCTCTTTTGAAATGTAACACAGAATTATTCACTCACCGCGATTCCCTAATAATTTCAAGCAGTATACACATTTGAAGAAATTTCATGTTGTTACGGCAACATTTTTTAAGTGCCAATTGCGAGTCACAAAAGAAGTGAGTCACAAAAGAGTGAAAATATATAAACATCTCTACGTTGGCGTACAGAGCAACACGAATAACTTTCTTAGACCATCCATTACGGTTGCGTGAAGAAAACCTTATCCACATAAATCGCGTTCGAGAGCAAATATTATTTTAACAAGCGTGTTTTGCCGAGCTCTCGAATCGGCGTGCCAATGAAATCATGTGAAAGGAGAGAGTAGGAGGGCTCACATTCCGAAAGAATTGCACGGCCACACAATTGGCGTGACGTGATTTCTGTGTTTGCCCCATTAAGCACAGTCTAAAAACCGCGATTCATTTCTAGGCCGGGTCATGTGTTTTGATCAGGGAGTACCAAGCGCGCGTTCACTTGTCCCCACGGATTTCATAAGATGTGCGTAAGATAAGGTATTTCACGGTGACAAATAATTGTTGACTTCTTTCTTCATTTCGCTCATGTAATTACAATTTACACGGGCTCGTAAGGGTATTATTGAAGAAAAAAAAAATCAAACGTTCAAATTAAATTAAATCGAAGAAACACTGAGTCCGCAGAAATCGCGAAAAATATTTTTATTTTTTTCTGCGTGATGATTGACTTCTTTTTTTATTTCGCTCATGCTATTATAATTTACACAAAGTCGTACGTTAAAAGAAGAAATAAGAAATAAAAATATTTATGCGGTGGATATACAAATTTATTACTAATACATTACTAATACAAAATCTTTCAAATAAAAAAATATATTTTTTCTTAAAACCTTAGCTTTTCTAAGTAAATATGTTGTTAGTATCCACTGAGTAAATATTTTTTTTACATATTTTTTTACAGATCTTCTTCTTCAAAGAAAAAGAAAAAAGAATCAAATGTTTGGATTGAACTAAATTAAAGATCAAAAAATCACAAGAAATGTCTTTATCCGTGTGACAGTTGCGCTAAATAATTAAATTAGGATTAATTGGTTTCTTCTTTTTATTTCACTAATGTAATTACAAATTATACAGAGCCGCGGTACTATTAAAGAAAAAGAGAATAGAATCAAATATACAAATTAATACAACAAATAAAATTAATAGAAATCAAAGAAACGCTTAGTTAAAAAAAACTGCGAAAAATGTCAATCCTTTCCGCGTGATGCTTACGATAAGTAATTAAATTAAAATTGAAAAGGGCCAAGAAATTTATACTCGAAGCTTATTAAATTGGATACATACCCAGCGAACGAATAGCGACCGTGTGATGTATTTGAATCCACCTTGTGCACAAATTTTCTTTGATTGATTGATTCTTTGATATTTGATTTTCACACCATATTGTGTGTATGAGTCTAAAACGGTGTGTGAATCAGTCTAAAACGGTCTGTTCGTCAAACCTTTCGCAACCCATTTTGTTTTTAAGGGTTCTTTCTTTTTACTTTTCTTTTTACTTTCAATTTGTTAAACATATTAAGATAATGTAGTTTTAGTAAAAAAATTAAAAGTTTTATGTTTGGCGCTAAAGGAATATTTATGTTTGACCGGGATACCAATATCTCACTGGGGTTCTTAGGAGGATATATTTGTCCCAACGGTAATAAGGAGAGTGATAACTGATGTGGTGTTCTGAATATCAAAAGAACTGTTTATTCAATTGAATAAAGTTATTACACTGTAAAAACTGATGTTAAATTTAACACATTTCATATGTCCCAAATTATCCACTCTTATTTATGTATAAATTTAACAGAAAACAAATGTGTTAAAAAGTAACATACATAATATGGAAAAAATTAACACAAGAATTTAATACTTAAATACCGTTAGGAATTACAGGTTGTATTAAATTGACATATTTAATATGTCAGACATAAGTTATGTCAATTTAACATTTTTATTTCATCAAAACCATAGATTAATACTTCTATCAAATGTTAAAGTTACGTTTTATTTTAGTTAATTTAACATTATACATATGTCAATTTAACATTTTTATTTCATCAAAACCATAGATTAATACTTCTATCAAATGTTAAAGTTACGTTTTATTTTAGTTAATTTAACATTATACATATGTCAATTTAACATTTTTATTTCATCAAAACCATAGATTAATACTTCTATCAAATGTTAAAGTTACGTTTTATTTTAGTTAATTTAACATTATACATATGTCAATTTAACATTTTTATTTCATCAAAACCATAGATTAATACTTCTATCAAATGTTAAAGTTACGTTTTATTTTAGTTAATTTAACATTATACATATGTCAATTTAACACAAACTATGATTCCTAACGGTATTCAAGTGTTAAATTCTTGTGTTAATTTTTAACATATTATGCGTGTTACTTTTTACTACATTTGTTTTGTGTTAAATTTACACAAATGAGAGTGGATGATTTAGGACACATAAAATGTTAAATTTAACACTTTAGTTTTTACAGTGTGGGCGTGTAATTTGGCTGAGGCTCCTTTCACATGTTTCTTACGGTCCTAAATCATGTTATTTTATGTTTAAACGTGTTAAATGGCATGGACTTGAAATAGTAAGAAACACGTGAAGAGATTCATTCAAAATAACATATTTGGATTTGCAATGTATTAAGCTTTACGTGTGAGCTTTTGCGCAAATACATCGCGGACAGTGTAAATATCGGTCGTTATTTTATCTCTGACCCATTACTACAACAAACGTAACGGAACAACGTCGGTGAGATCTTTACTCACTCTGGGGATTACAATTGAATCTATGCAATCTCTCCTGTTTTCGTTGAGCGAAAACACGAGAGCGTTTCAATCTCGACTCTCATTAATGCTGTTTGCTTGCGTCGTGTTGGACGATTATCGCGTGTAGCGTGTGACAATAGTTCCGTGTGCTTCCTCCTACTTCCACGAGCTCCTCGTCATTATTTCTAAGTGATATTTTGTTTGTGGCGATACCGCGATTTCAAATACTGCCTACACACGGAATGAATTACTTTTCCGTATATTTTTTTCGTTTTTATCATTCTTCGTTACCAATTTTTAGGAAAAATTTAAGCTTAAAGTCAAAATAACATAAATGTAAGAAAAAAATCGGTGTGTGTGTCAATTAATCATAATTAATATTCGTAATTCATTGATAAGTAACACACCACGAATGAATTATTTTTACGCAAAATTTAGAGTGAACTTTCTGGGACATGTAAAGATTTACATTTTATTTTTTGTGTATTCATGGGAATAATGCTCTCCCACGGATTATAACATTTTAAAGTCGCGCTTTGGAAAGGGGTAGGAGGAGATGGAAAAAGAGGAAAAAGGATATTTCTTTGCGCCCGAAGGGATGACGGTGTCCGGAGCGGATTTCGCTTTGCGGATTTTCCCTTCGAATGTCTCCAGTCACGCGCGCTCGCGAATACCGTGGATCTCTAGCAATTGAGATCCGTTCTGCTACATTTAACGTGAAATCGGCCTCACCGCGACGATCGTGCGAGTATGAGCGCGTGAAACACGAGCAGAACGATAACACGTTCATAGGACGCGTATCGTAGTCGGTATTGGTGATAATTTGTTCACATATTACGTGCGAGATAGGAGTTGACAGCAGTAAAGCCGTTGATTGGAAGCTCTTATTAAGACACATCCATCGAATTTTAACCGTGTAATCTCGCTAGACAGTCGCTTCTAAGAGCGGAGGTGTGTGCCAAATAATTACTAGCAACAGAGCGACTTGGAAGCACTTTGAAGCGTTAGATGTTTACGCGTAAATCACCATAATCTATGTCTACGTGTTATACACAACATAAACTATGTATGAGATTGGCTGCATTTAGCTGCAAACAGCAGAGAAAGCTGCTATTTGCAACTATTGCAACATTTGTGACTCTGATCGGCGTATGCTCTCAGATTCAGTCCAGACTAAGAACTGAGACACTGAGAGAAAGAATATCTAAGAAATAGTAGACATTTATTCGGTGAGTGCCAATAACACATATTTATTTATACTGAAATAAGAAATTATTTTTCGAATAAGAAAATATGCATTTTTTAAAAACTATGAGAGCAATTGTTCATGAATTGCTCGTGAATTGCAATTGTTTCACGAAACAATTGTTCTATTCGAATAAGAAGATTTAGATTTAAGTAAATATGTTATTAGTGTAGAGCCACCAAAAATAAATGTTTGCCATTTTTTAGATATTTTTCTCTCAATGTACCTCAATCAGATTCACGAATCTCGCAACAGTTGCGAAGCAGTTTTTTCCATTGAATGCAGTTAATGAGTAAGCCAAGGATGTTGTTTAAGTAATGTGTGGCTTGCTAAAAAATTAAATAGGAAGAATTGATATTTTTATTTAACATTTAGAATCCCGATATAAATGTTGGACGTTGTTATTTCCTAAACAAATTAGAAACCGCGAAATCTTCTGATGACAAATCTTCAGAGTTAAATCTACACACTGAGAGAAAAATATCTGAAAAAAAATATATTTATTTGCTGGATGTTAATAACATATTTTACTTGAATCAAAATTCTTTTGTTTGAATATAATAAATAATTGCTTTCACGAAAAGATTTCAGGAAAATATGTATTTGTTGATTTGAGAGAAACCTTTTGCTCAATGTAAAGATATATATATTTTTATAAATAAATATATGATTAGTATTCATCCGATAAATATTTCTTATTTTTCAAATATTTTTTCTTTCAAGATTAATCTATCATTGTGAATAAAACGAAAATTTCCTTCCATTTATCCTTATTAAGCACTACATTTCTAATTAATATCCAAGACAGATACTGTATAGCTGTCTCATAATTCATTTATTTTTTTTTAGTATATTTTAATATAATTATAGAATTTTTTGTAGTTAACATTGTTCATGCGACAATACATCGTATATACTTCATGCAAATTATACATAAGCAATTCGCGTAGACATAGTCTTGAAGTTCACGGTATGACTCTACTTTGAACATAAAAAAATAGGTAGTCGCTTCACGACTGATTGGTTGACATATTTTTCTTCCGTGGCGTTGGGAAGTTGATTTTCCCCAAAACGCGTGAGCTTCGATCTCGACAGCTGAACAACGCACTGTTAGCGTCGGCAGGATTTATAGCTGCGAGCAGGCTGACCCGCGGAATGCACGCGGAATCTCGAGCTGCGTGATGTTACGCTGATGTTGTCTGGTGCGTGAGAAACACGACAGAACAAGCGCGAGAGCGTTGATTAAGGCCGCCTTTATCGCGCGAAAATAATTTTCTCTTCTTGCACGGAGACGCATCTCGTTGTTCGAGGTCCGCCTCGTCATCGTCGGGCGTCTTCCTCTTACCTGGCGCTCTACCTGGCGTCGACAAGTCGTGTGTAAAACTGAATTTTAACCCGTTCGCGTTTGTTCCGGTTTGATCTCGACTTGGGCATTTTTTCCCTCCGTCTGACGATCCGATCTCGTATTTTTTATTTTAGAACGTCCTCGATTTAATTGCGCCGTTTCCATCGCGCTGGGTGTTCGCGGCGGGATTTCGCAGTCGCTCGATAGCGATGGAGATGTGCCCGCTGGCCTGCGTATGTGCGTGTGTGTTTTTAAGCGTAGCGAGAGACAGAACGACGCGAATATGTTGCGCGAATACATACTTTAACGATGTAAAATTTCCGATGCACACGGCTACCGCGTTGCATCGCAATGCCGACTTGTTACAAGTTTATCGAGCACGCCCAGTCGCTCATTAAAGCCGCGAACTCAATTTTGCAAAATTCCAGGACCGCCATCTCCGTTCGCACCTGACCGAGAGACAGAGAGAGAAATGGGCGTCGCACGATGCGTGGGCGATATTCGAAATCACGAGCTCCCTCCCTCTCTCTCTCTCTCTCTCTCTCTCTCTCTCTCTCTCTCTCTCT